ACCGTGGGACTAGAAGGCGCAGTGATAATTGACCTTTTTATATTCTATGGTAATCTTGAAGAATCTTCCCTTGCGTAAACTAGAATATTTCAAACTTAGAACACTTGAAAACATCAAAAGATACGCAACACATGTTTCATTTATTCCGCGGTGCCCGCCTCACAAAAAAATGTATTTAAATATAGAACAGAATCATTTACTGCTTTATCTACACAGATAAGAATCTATTTAGCTTTCGTTAGGCGGCCTTTACACTCGGCAAGTGACGTAATCAAATTACAACTTTATAATTGTAAACAATTTGTCATAATTTACGAGTATTATATTCAAATTTATCAAAACTTAGTTAAGTTTTACTCAAGTAAAACTTAGGTGTGAGGGCGCCCTTATTAAAGTATTTTAAAGGTAAGATATTTGTATATATTTATATATATTAAAATGTTTGCTAACATACAGACATTATTGTTTAGACGTCTATATCCGAACTTATACATATACTACCTGTTCCCCGCGACTTCGTCCGTGTGGAATTTAACTTTCATTTTGTAAAATAAAAGATTTTTTTTAAATAAAAGTAGCTTACTCCTTATTACATCAGCTACCTACCAATAAAATTCCCGTCAAAATGAGTCCAGCCATTTCAGAGATTAGCCGAAACAAACAGACAGACAGACAAAAATGGTAAAAAATATTATTTTGGTGTATGTACCGTATTTGTATTCAATCATATAGTAAAAAACAGTTATTTCAATATTACAGACTGGCACTCCCAATTTTATTTATATGTATGCTATTGATATTTAAAAAAATGAATAATCAATCATTAATAACAACTATCACCTATTTGTTACCTATTTTATTATTATAATAATGCGACAAAGTGAGGACAATGTTATTGAGAGTACATACTGCGTCGTCCATTGTTCCGTTTATCTAGGCTACCCACATTATTTTATCTGCACATGTACCTATTTATATATAAAAAAAAATATCCGTCCATCCCTAAAGTGAGCACTGTTCAGTCTAGGTACCTCTTTATAAGATATCACTCCCTCATTATGTTTGTTGTAGTTTCGACTACAATCAAGTTATAATTAAAAATAACTGGTTTTAACCAGATTTAGCCAGCCTTTACCAGTTATTACAAAAAAAAATATATAATTTAAGACCATACTTTAAATTACGTCCATAAAAATACAGTAAAATCAAAACGGCCAGAGTAATCTGAGAAATGCACACAAGATCGTTAACAGTCAAAAAAGTGACTCGTGTCGCCGCGGGCGTTGAACCAAGGACCCCGCGGTTGCGCGGTTTAACACTCGAACATTTTTTGCTTCATCATCATTCGTAACAGTGTTGTGGAACCGGCGTTGAAGTTTATCAAATTATACCACTAACATAGCCGGCGACTTCGTTCGCATGACCGACGACTTAAATAATGATTATTTAAAGCTGTTTAATTAATTTTATTTGTAAAGAATATTACACTGTTATCAAATTGCATTATTGTAATAAAATTTTAATAGAAATACAAATAATCTTTATTAAAATAAACTTAAGTAATATAAGCACTTCTGAATAGTCATATTTTTATTATTCAACCATTCATTTGGAATGTAGATTTATCACATTAAGGAATAAAAAATATATGTCGAACTATCACTAATACATTAAAATCTTATTCTTTATGTCTTTAATGTGTTTAAATAATAATTCACAATAAATCACGTTACAAAATTGACACCATAACGTTTCGCCTGCCAATGACAAATATTAGCCTATATTCCCCTTCCTTAATAGGTACTGTATGTAGAACAAATTTTATAGCGTTTGTTAGTCTTTAAAGTAGTCACAAGTTACAAATAAGGCCTAAGTATTTCCTTTTACATCAGTTTGTAAAAAAAAAACCTATGTCACGCTGTACAGATATACCTACAAAGTGTTTGTGTTGTCGCGAGTAGTCACTAGGACCTAAAGACTTATTATGAGTTATGAGTTCTGAATTATTGAAAGAAAAGAATCTAAAAGAATTTTTGTAAAGTGGTTTTTCAATTACGACAATTCCCCTTTTTTCCGTCGATATGAGAAAGAAATCACATTTAATATAATGATAACAAATGTATTGTAAAAATAGCTATGCCTGCGGCTGCACCCGCATGAAATTTATAGCATTTGTAAGTAAAATTTCTTCTAATTCCATTCACTAGTTTTTGCGTGAAAGAGTAACAAACATCCATCCATACTCACAGACTTTCGCGTTTATAATATTAGTTAAATTTATATTTATTAAACAATCATAAAACATATTTACAAATAAAATTCTATGAATTGATAAAATAATGAAAAAATCTTCCCGGAAAAAAAGTACATATATTTAAACACTTGAGTGACAATAGAATCGCCTACACTTATGCTGCGCCTCATTTTTTCCGCTTAAGAAATTACGAAATGTAATATTTGAGCCTAATAATAGCTCTGGCCTATAAATTACACCAAAAACTAATAGCTGCCAACAAACTTAAATATTAATAACGAAATTAATTCCCTGAGCTCTCCTCTAATTAGCTTAATTTGAGTCAATATAATTAAGAAAAGCAATTACTTTATGGGGCACTCTTGTAGCTCAGTTAATAAAGGTTATGAGATCAGACACATTCATTAATTTATTTAAATTAGTATTAAATCTAAACTTATTTTTCATTTCATTATCTTTTATCGATTACTGATATAGTAGAGTCTCTCAGTATAAAGTCAGTACTTGGGTCTCAAGTATTTCTGCCACCAAGCTTGGTAAGACATGTTTCAGTATGAAATAAGGCAGTAAAATTACAGGCATAACATCTCAATTCTCTGGAATGGCAACACAGGAGCGGTAACACTTTATCAAATGATGGTGTATTGTATATGGACAATGTTGTTCATGTATATAGGTGATGATTAAAATTTTTATTTTATTTTATATTTTTGATGGCCTCAATGGTCTACAAGTTTAGCAAACTGCTTTACTTTTGATGGTGGAACATTGCTAGGAATAGGGTCATTAGTCCACATAACTAACAACTCCACTCCCCCTGATGAACTTATATCAATGAGGACAAGTCTTTCAATCATCCTTTCAAAAACTGAAAAGTATTGTAGAATATGGATATTATATGTGTTGAAAGAGTAGAAACACAATATATCACACATAAGCTATATAATAGTACTTTTTTTATACTACTTAATAGAATAACTGCAAAGAGTATCCATCAAGCACTTTACAGTGTGAAAATACTTAAAATATTACAATTAATACATACAGAGAATTAATTATATTATTTTAAATTTCTTGTAAGATAGTGTATCTACACTAAAGTATACATAGATACCTTATGAATATGCATAAATGGCTAAAGGAGAAATATATGATTGTTATACATTTCATGTACAAGTATAGTGAGAAGCAATCAAGTACTAATCACTAAATTACCAGACGAGAGAAGGAGACCTCGACTAGAAACTACAGTTAGCTACCTTGACTGGAAAATAATAGGTATTAAGTTATCTTATAAGTTGTTAGTATGTCTGCCCCAGTGATGAACAGTCCATTTTTACCCACCTCGGAGCAACAAATAGGTACTGGCGGACTCCTACTGGCTAAACCAACCTAAGCCAATACCTTAATCTGTACCAAAAAATATTATAATAATGCATATGGATAATTGCTATGAAGATAAATCTGAGAATAATGAAGATAAAATAAAAATGTATTTAAGTAAGTCTAATTATGTGTGTTTTGATGTTGCTATTCTGAATTTATCAGACTCAAAAGAAAAGTAGACTTATGGGAAATAAATCTACTTTCCTTCTGAGTTAATACATTGACCTATATATAAATACTGTGACAAGAAAATCAAGTGTATTGTAAATTTTAATACCTAATAATCATGGCTGTAAAATATATAGTCCTGATGTTAACGAAGAGAAAGAAGATCATATACTAATTACCTGCAGAAAGGATATACAACTTGAAAGAATACAAAAAACTAATTCAAATGAATGTCAGGAACATTATTTCATATGATCATATTCATCCTTTTCAATCTGGGTCATAGTTTTCATTATAATTATATGCTTTTATTACCTTGCAATAAGACCTGGTGTATATTATCAGTATCAGTTATTAATTCATAACAGAATATTAAAATGTATCATCTTATATTCACTACTGTTATTATTATTAGAACTACATTGCAATACTAAGAATGATCCCATTCTACTTATCACATCATAAATAAAAAATAATATATTTTTAAGGCCAGTATCAAAGGATTCTTTAGTTTTATAACATAAATTATAGTTTGATAATAAAAATATTGTTAATACCTAAAGCAAAATTCATTCTCTAGTCTTTGGTAATTGTTTACAAAAGTAATAAATATTAAATACAAAAATATTGTAGGTTTTTAGGTTAATCATGTTGTAGTGTAATTATTATTGATATTTAATAGTATTAATATCAATAAAGATTATGAATAAAATCATATATTCTGTGAGGTCAGCACACCGGCTACTGCATTGTTTGTAAACAAATAACAGATGATGCGTCGACCCGGCTTTCAAAGATATCAATGCCTAAATTTACACATATAGTCAGCTAATCGTTGCCAAAAAATCAGATTTGTATGTTTTATAATACGCCAGAAAATAAATAATATAACAGCTCCAGAAGCCGGAGGTTTCCAACAAAATGCCATGTGCTCGTACGCGCCAAATTTTGACAACTACTTATCAGACGTTGTGGTAAGATTATATAACAGTATTAAAAAATATTGGGCAATTTCTCAGCATATTATTATAAAATACAACACTTCACAGATGATTCGTTATAGGAAATTAACTGAAAAACATTTTTTAGAAGATATTCCATACCGCCTCTAGTGGTGGAAACACGAAACAAAAACATAATGGCGGACACAGTGGTTTCGATGACTGAACATCTTAATGCGCAAAATACTCACACTTTCCTCCTCTTTTTCCATTCCAGAGGGCATTTGAGGTACTGCACGATTAATCGCCGAGTAGTCCGGCAAATCCGGAAGCTCCTCGGCGAGATATATGGGCATTGGTTTCGACGCATCCAGGGCCCTCGCCCTAAACGAGAGCTTCGACATTTTGTTGACAGAACAAAACACGCTAGCGTCGACACTAAAATGCACTTATAAAACACTTTTTTGCTCCTCTAGGAGGTCCAAAAGGACCTTAAACTGAACTTTGCACACTCTAGTTCGTTCCCATGGTTAATTTTTGCACGCACTCAGTCACAATTAATGAAAAACAATAACGAAACTTTACATATTGAGCGTACTTTGCAGAAAGCCATCATGGCGGCTTTCCGTTTGGCGGACGACCATGACCAACTTCCACCTAGCAAGATGTACGCGGGAAGGAAACACGCGGGGTCGATTACGATATTTTATACACTTTTTTATTATATCGCATGTAACTTCTAGAAGTCTATGTTATATTTAAATATAATTATTTTATTAAATTTTATTCAGTAAATAATAATAACAATATTAAATATTTCTGTGTTTAAATTAATAAAGTAGTGAAATGACTTCACAGACTCTCCCACAGTCATAGACTATAGAGGATTTTGGGTGACGTTCCATTTCACGTAATATTGCAGAAACGATTACGTGTTGGATAATTTCTATAAAATATTATATATGATGTTGTGAATATAAAAAGTATTATAATTAACTGTCACACATGTTATACCACAATTTTATGAAAAATAAAATTTTATTTCTGTTCTCTTACGAATTGTATGCTTATTATTATATATTGTATGTCTATATACAGATAAAAAAAGACGTGACGTAATATTCAGATTTTTTTTAAATCATTGATTCAAACTTCGGTAAAGGTTAGACAGTATACAGTTATACAAGTGAACCAGTGTCTATGATTTAACAGTTTATAAAAATTATTTTATGGTACCTACGCTGTTTTAAATATACTAAATTTTTTTCTTATTATTGTTGATGCTGTAAAATAAAATATATTAGCATATATTAATTCCCTGAGTGTATGCCTAATCTAATATGTAGACAATGTGTAATTGTATAAAATTAACACTGAATTGGTTATATAAAGTGTATTATATTATATATTTTCCTATTTTTTCGAGGTCTCAGTGCGTTATATTATGTATATAAACGTGTATTACTGTATTTAAGTTTATTAATATTTTGGAATGAAAGTAATTGTGATGGCTTAATTCTATCTTAGTGTTTCAATTGCAAACTGTAGCATTTAGTTCAAAAATACTTTGTGTTTTTATGGAAATCTAAAGTCAAAACAAAGAGAATTGTTAGCAATTACTTATGTAATCTGCTTAGAGCAGATAACAATTAACATTTGCTAATAGAGGCTATGTAACATTTGTAGAGTTTCGGGCATCCGAGGTTTAGGCTAATGTAATCGTTTACAATCGAATGGTTTACAATCAATGTATACCTGTTATCCACCAGTGTGGTATATAAAAGATTATTGCTAGTGTAGAAACTAAAATATATGTATTTAAATACTTAGGGAGCAGGTGGCTTGAAAGGACAACGACAACAACAGTGAATAGGTATTATTTGAGCTTGCGTGTAACAGCTTAGACCACATCATCACTTAACATCAGGTGAGATTGCGGTCAAACGCGCTCAAATTATGATATAAAAAAAAAAAAGTGTATTATGCTATAAGAGATTTTTTTTAATAAAAAACACGGACTTTATTAAAAACATGTATTTAATAATAATAATAATAATAATAATAATAATTTATTTGCTTAAAAAAAACACAGTATAAAAGATGGTAATTAAAACTTAGTATGTGTTTTGCCATAGTAGTGGCATGCAAAATAGTATTGTTTAAAATTATACATAATTAACTATATAGAGCGAAATAATAATTATAATAATAATAATAGTTAAATAGGATCTCTCTAGTCGGTATTTATACATTGTCAAAAAAATTGTTTAAACTGTAAAATTCCTTATTTTTTAACCATTCTCGTAATGTCTTCTTAAATAATATTTTCTTATTCGTCTTTAATGTCTCAGGAATGCAATTATAAATTATTATACACATATTTTCACAGTTTTTTGTGTACTGTGTCATTGTATGGGTTTTAGCAAGTACCAATCTATTAGGATTTCTGGTATTTCTTGGATAAATGTCCTGAGCTTTCGTAAATGAATTTAAATTTTGTTTTACAAAAACAGCTACCTCATATATATAAAGCGATGGAAGCGTCAGTAGTCCAAGTTCTCTGAAACGTGTTCGACATGACTCGTACGGTGCAAGACCACACAATGCTCTAATACACTTTTTTTGAGCAATGAATGCCCTATTAATATTTGTACCATTTCCCCATATTAATAGTCCATAACGCAGTACAGATTCCACGTATGCATGATATGCAGTAAGTGCAGTCTTTCTGTTCGTTATGTTTTTAACACGCTTCATTGCATATATAAACTTATTAATTTTGTTACTAATATTTTCGATTTGTTTTGTCCAATTAAGTTGTTGATCTATCATTATACCCAAAAATTTTGTTTCATTAACTGATTCAATTTGTATATTTCTGTAGTTAACATTAAGATGACAGATTTCATTTTTCAATTTATTAAAATTAATATGATTAGTTTTATTTACATTTATTGTCAAATTATTCATGTTAAGCCATTTAATTATTAGAGTTATAGTTTCATTTATATCAATTTCGTGGTCTTTCAATGTTTTTATATTTTTTATCAGTAGTTACAATAATAGAAATGTCATCTGCAAAGACAATGCATTTATTTGTAGTTATTTCAATTAAATCATTAATATACAGTAAGAATAGTATGGGCCCCAATATACTTCCTTGTGGAACTCCATATTTATTTGATCTGTATCCAGAAGAATAAGGTGTGACAATATTATATTTATCCAATTTTGTGATTGTTACACATTGTTTTCTATTGTTAAGATAAGAAGCTATCCAATCCAGGACAATGCCTCTTATTCCCACGTTTACCAGTTTATTCAACAATACTTTGTGGGATACACAATCGAAAGCCTTTGAAAGATCGAAAAATACAGCTGTAGTGTATTTTTTGTCGTTTATATTTGTCAAAATTGTTTTTATGAGAGAAAATGAGGCAAGTGTTGTCGATTTATTTTTTTGGAACCCATATTGGTCTTTTGAAATTATTTCATATTTGTTACAGAAATCCATTAATCGCGTCAACATGCATTTTTCAAAGATCTTTGAGAAAATTGGTATTAATGTGATTGGACGATAATTTGCTATATCATCTTTATTACCTTTCTTATAAAGGGGTTTTACTATGGATGCTTTTAAAAGCTCAGGGAACGTTCCGCTTGAGAAAGATAAATTAATTAGGTGAGTTAAAACATCTATTATCTCGTCGATGCTGTCTTTTATTATTTTTGTACATATTTCATCATATCCTTCAGAATTTGTATTATTTAATGATAAAACCTGTCTTTTCACTTCGTTCTGTGAAACTGGTTTTAGAAACATTGAGTGACTCACAGTTCGTTTAGAGTTCATTTTATAATATTCCTCTTTGTATCCATTTGTTATGTCAATAAAATGGTTGTTGAAAGCTGTGGCTATGTCTGTAGGTTTTGTCAATACTTTATTACTAGTCTTTAAAATATTTATATTATTATCACATGTCATGTTGTGGATTTCATTTGTTATAATAGTCCAAGATGCTTTGCATTTATTTTTGCTCCTGTTAATGAATTTAATGTTTGCGTTTCTTTTGAGATTATATATACATTTTTTTAATACATTGGAGTATGTTTTATACTTAGTTTTATTTTCTAAAGTCTTATCTTTGTAATATTTATATCTCAGTGATCTTTTTGCCCTACTGCTAAGCCTTATGCCTTTACTAATCCAACTGATCTTTAGCTTATTAAATGTATTAATTTTAATTTTTAATTTTGGGAAACACAATTTATAAAATTCCCTTATCGATTCATGAAATCTATGAAACGCTACATTTAAGTTGGACTCTACGTAAATATCAGACCAGGAAAGATTTTTCAGACACTCACGAAATTTCAGAATATTTTCTTCTCTATAGTCTCTTTTATAAATGTAATAAGATGCAGGTTTCAGAGGCTTGACCCCAACCGGAAAGCTTAACAATTGGGCAGTTTCGTGGTCAGATAAGTGAAGTGGTAGCACTTTTGCAGTTGCACTTTCTATATTACTTAGTACATGATCTATACAGGAATCTTTTCTAGTAGGCTCAAATATGAAGTTTCAGATTGTAATTTTGAGCTATATCTTTTAGGTAATTTGATGCTGTTCCATGTTTTAATGTATTTATATTAAAGTCCCCTGCCAATTTTTAGCTTCCCGTTATATTTTTTTGATATTTGATGTAGTAAGCAATCAAGTTTATTTAAAAATTACAGGGGTTAGATAAAGGTGTCCTGTAAAGACAGATTACAATAATTTTATTTGGTAAGATTTCCATGGCATTCGAAGATTTTTTGTACTGAATGCTCTTTTATAAATGGCAATTCTTTACATAATAACCTCTCCTTAGCCAGAATACAAGTCCCACCTCTTTGCCTATCTCTACAGAAATTAGTAACCATATTGTAGTTATGAAGTTTTAGATAATTATCGTTTCCCTTTTTCAAAAATGTTTCTGTTAAACATATAATATCCGGTTCATTGCACGTATCTTGTAGGTCGTGTAACGTTATTTCTAATAATTCTCTTTTAGAAAAAAAACTAGCAATATTTTGATGAAGAATATTCATATATATCTCTGTTTCATGTTTAGCCTCGAAAAAATGTTGTCGGATTTACAACTGGGAAGTAGTAAGGAATTTTCCCTCTTTGTGTTTCAAATGAATATCAGAACATGAATCATCGTTTTCTTTAGTTTTATGGGCAAAACAATAGGGGATTGTTCCTTTCTTCCACGTTTGAATTTTTGACTTGGCACTTGCCCTATTCAATGTTATAAGTTTCTTTAATTCTTTGTGATTACAATAAATTCGGTCATAATCAATACAGTCAATAGTATAATTAATGGATTTACAGATAACAGTTAAATCTTTAGAATAGCATTTTGTAAAATAGCAGTTAATATACTTGTCACATATTTTTTGGATACTATTATTTAGCATATTTATATTCATTGACTTGTTTTTTAAAACATTTAGAACTACGACAGAACACTTTAATTTGTTTAGTATTATTTCAAGTAAAGTATGTCTAGCATTATATTGACATATATTGACTTGTTAATAGCAATATATTGACATATGAAATATGTAGCGGATACATATTTTATTTATTAAGCGATTAAATTCTGCATTTTTCCACATGGCAATACATTCAGCGGTATATACCGGTCGACCTATTCACCTTTTTCCGAACTATTGTATCGGCGTTGGCTACAGCTGGCTTTTACAGCTTCACAGGACGAAAATGAGGGCGAGTACAGGGGGAACAAACCTAACCCAAACGTCAGAATTTGTGGAGTAATTAGAGGACGATTCCTGACGGACACATGAGGGAAATGCTGGTAAGGCTGTTAGGTTCAAACCTTAGCTTTGACCGTTGAACGAAACAATGTTTAACCCCAGTTAAAATGGGGTAGAGGATAGATAGGAGAGGTCGTATTAAACAATATTTGCTATACATAAATATCTTATCAGTTTCAAGTTTTTGAGTAGATAATTAAAAATACTAACGATTAAAAATTATCACGTTCCTTTCAAAATACAAAGATACAATGGCAATAAAAATAGCATATACAATAATAGTCAACTAATACCGATTGCTTAAGTGTTGCCATATAGAAATATTTTTAATATAGTAATTCGCACAGTTCATAAAATTACAGTAATATGCTTCGTAATATATTAATAATTCGGTAAATGTTTAATATATAAAAGTGCGACTTTAAATATTATAACCAAAAAGGTGCATAGCTAAGTTAAATGAGCTGATACAAATCATTCACTGGTAGTTAGTAATATTTTAAAATAAAAATTATATTTCTTTTAATTATGTTTTCAATAATCAACAATGATATTCATTTAGGAATAGACATATCTTTTACAAAATGGGCAATATGTACACCTAACTGTGGGTAAATAAAAAATAATTTGTAGAGTTACAATATTTTATACTGGATTCATAATAAGAACTTATTTAACTAGCAACAACATTTGTTGTAGTTCACATAATCAAGTTCAGCTTGGACAACTCGTATACGACGCCATTCTTTTGGCGGTTTTTCAAAGGCGGTGCGTAACAACCGATGCGTCAATCAAAAAGCGTTGTCGGCGCGGGCCGTCCGGGTCTATCCTGAAATGTGTGAAGGCCCTAAATGTATATTGTAAATTGATGTTTCCCTTTGGTCTATCATTGTTGGTTTATCTTTGAACATCTAATATTTGCTCTCGTACTTTTAGCTTGCAATTGTTTAAGACGTTCTACATATCTGTTTATTTTAACGATTTCATTGAGGATGTTAGATATAATTTTAAAAGTTAACATCAAGTCAAAACATCTATATTTTGTCACTATACGTTCTTTTATGTAACGTTGTTGTATATCGATTATGCCTATAATATTATGTCTTACACCCTTGCTTTGGGTATTGGAAAGCAATTTGAATTTTAAACTTAATATTAAGCTTAATTTTCATTGTTCATGTTTCGATCCCCTTTAAACCATTTCAATAGTAAGTCACAATAGACTTCCTATTATAAAACCTTATACTTATATCTACAAAAAAAAGATATCGTACAAATTTAACATAACAATTTATTCAGACAGTTCATTATTAATTTTAAATACAAATAATTATTAATTATGTAAAAATACAATTCAAAATATTCCACAATGCATTGAGTATCATTTTCCTGTTAAGATTTCGCTGACAGGCTAATATTCTACCTCTTTCTATTCGATATATCTATCTCACTCTAACCCGTCATGGTTTTAGATTCCAGCTTGACAACTTATCTAGACACTTCCTCAGAAAAAGTTCGGACGTAAGTGCACACGATAGCTTTTTGATTTGTCGAAAAACATTTTTTTTTATAAATTACAATATTCATTCACATCATACAAACATTTACATTCAATATTACAAAATTTAAAGCCAATTTTCAAGTACTATAGCTGTAACCACATTAGGTGTATCCATGATCAAAGATAGTTTTTTTTTTAATATGTTAAGTGTTACATTCACCACTGCGACAGTGGGCAATGGCGCTGCATACCCGATTTGATATAACAGTCATGAAGAGATATTTTTTTAAGTGTTAAATATATTATTACTATTATTAATAACACGTAGAAACTTCTAAATTCAGCAGTGAAATGTTATAAATATTGCTAAGTGTAAATTAAGTATATTTAAATATATCAGGTGCTATCTATAAACTACGTCACATGTGTCACACAGTGTGACATATATGTCACAAGGGGCGGGAGGGGTAGTAAATTATACACGGCATATTTCATAAATAAAGTATTAAAACATGAAATTTTTACTAATAAAGAAAATATCAAAGAAAATTCCAACTTCAACAGTATACACATAAGGTTTAAATTGTTTAGTTGCACTTGTCTGTACTAGGTTTGTTACTGAAATATGGAAAATAGAAGGGAGGAGGGTTTGGACATAGGGAGAGGGGGGGAGTAGAAGACTAATCTGTGACAACAAGAACTACTTATAACCATTCATGAAATTCTGGTGACGTAACTGATAGACGGCTCCTTATGTGTGTTTAATTGTTAAATTTAATCATCAAACAGGACTCAAACTTGTATACACCTCTATGTATCAAATATAAAATTATGCCATAGGAGTAACATTTGTTGGCAAATATCTCAATCATCCTAACATTATTAAGCCAGAATAACAATGGTGGACTAAATATTAAACATTCTAAACTATTTAAATGAGACACTTGTGAAATTCTTATATAATCTCATACAGTAATAACATGTATAATTTTTTTAGATTCACTAAATAAATCTTAATATGTTTTTTGCATATCATTACATAGTATAAAACAAAGTCACTGTCGCTGTCTGTCCGTCCCTATGTATGCTTAAATCTTTAAAACTATGCAACGGATTTTGAAGCGGTTTTTTTAAATAGTGATTCAAGAGGAAGGTTTATATATATAATACATGTACACCCGTGCGAAGCCGGGGCGAGTAACTAGTTCATTATAAAAATCAAAGACTTAGTAAACAATAGATGGTGGTGAATGGGTGTAACCAGCATTTAAGTCAGAGCAAGTAAGATTTTTAATGTTATTTATTTGAAGGTTAACCCTTCCAACGTTTTGACACAGTTTTGACGTTTGTGCACCCCTCTTAAACCGTATTACCGTCTTGTCACAGATCTGTGCCCGCAACACCGTGACTTCTTTTTAACAAATTATATCCTTATTTAAAACAACATAAGATTGAAACGCATTTCAAAAAATACAGCTGGCGCGCGCATACCGCCTCTTCACTTACGTTCGCCACGACGGACGACGGATGATGCAATGATGTATGTCGGCAAGAAGCCCCTTGAACCTACACCTAGACGACCAACCCGGCACCAGCACTCAGAGACTTTGCTAGTGCCGGGTCTGCAATGTAATGGAATACTAAGAAATTTGTCTGTCATATGACAGTTTTATTGAAAAATTACACGTGTATGACTCTGTACGATGCATGTATATTGGACATGTTAATTAAATAATTCATAAATATATTGATATTGTGTATAAAAATTATATTATTTTTATTACATCCTAGCCATTAAAAATCTTACTTGCTTTGCTTCCTTTCAAAAATTATACTAATTTCATAACATACAATATATCAACACATCTTACTAGTTTCAGGAGAGCTTATTATCCGCAGGTACCCCCTCCCTGGGCACTACCATGGTTGTTTCCCATCATAATTATTAATCGGTCCCCACTCACAAACCTATTCCAACTGACAATTAATACCTACATTATATTATAATAAATTCATGTTTCGGACAATAATTTACAGTGTCAATATTACTACATAACTTTCAAGCATTATTATACGAATATTAAGATTTTTAATAACTTATTAATTTACAATTACTGATTTTTTAAACAATTATCACTGATTCCGTGTTGCATTAATCAATCAACTGACAATCTTGATTCATTCACATCGTTAAAATCACTTGTTAATTTTTATCACTAGCACTTCAGAAATACATTGTCTCTTTGTACAACTCCATGTTCAGTTGCAGTAGGTGAGTTGTCACTAGGAGCTGTAGAATCAGCTCTGTTCGATGGAATCCTCGGAACGGTTGGTGCTGCGACAGTCGCCAGTTGGTGCGACCTTCGAAGACATCGCACTCTTGCCCACAAATATTTCCACTTCCTGTGGAAGGATAAAAAAAAATTAACAGTTCTTTGACTGAGAATTTTGTATTAAATTTAAAGGCTATTAAACCGGATACCTCAAATACATATATGGTAAAATAATAGGAATGTGAATATATGAGAATTTTTGAAAGTTGCGCCAGTTATGAACAAGTTGCGAGGTATCAGATTAAGCTGGCATGGGCAATATGCGGAGGAGTGAGGATCATGTCTCAAAGAAAGTGTATAATATTATGGGTGAAAACTGTGATTGGTACAGTTTATGCTGTAAATAATATAAATGACGTAGTGGAGTAACTTGAAACAGTCATGCTCGCTATAAAGTTCAAACATGTGGCGGCGTGGTGGGCCGGGTCGATGTGCTCCCTCTAATATGGTTGAGTGCAATGATGGCTGGCTCATCCGTCATACTCGTGAGCGGGTGCTGCTTGTGGGGACTGGTCTGTTCAGGTTGCGGACACTGATTAGATTTTTTGATTTTTTTTATATAGCATATGCTGATGGTCACTCTATTCTCCCAAATTTAAATTTAAATGAAATAGTATTATTGTAAATATGTACAATATTAAAAAAAAATACGAGCTGAGTTTCTTGTCAGTTCTTCTCATCTCGAAATCATTCCGAAAGACGGTAGATTTGAATATCATAAGAGTCCGTAATAGACCTACATGAATAAAGATATTTTGAATTTGAATCAATATAACGTGGATGGATGGAAATGGGAACGACGCCGCCCGAAAAAAATGGATGGATTGTGTGAAAGACGATATGAATAAAAGGAGAGACACAGATTGACCACCGATAAATGTATTATTATATCATACTGCGTCGACCACAAATAATGGGAAATTATTTTATTAATGATGATGATTGTACCACCAAAATGTATTATTATATCACACTATGACTGAGTGAAATTATTTTATTACTTAAGTTTTGTTAAGTTAAATATTACTTAAACTATCTATTTTGAACATTTTTTATATACTAATGTACCAATGTCAGGTTGACTTACATGTGGTTCCCCCTGGAAACCATTAAGATAAATTCATGGTGAATTTAACATGATGGACTAACTGACCAAACCTCATGCTCATCCTATCATCCTGCACTGGTGCTCCGGCAGCGTAAACCGTTAGGACAGCGTCACCACTTCATTTTCATCCATAAGAAGCTACTCTAGTATCCTCTGAACTATGAGTCTGTACCTGACTTCCCTCGATGCCCATCTCCTGCGTGTCCTGACTGCAGCCCGGTGCTGATGACCGCGCCGCCTGTTGACGCTCGCGCGCGACACGCCTGCAAATTTTAATATTACTATATTAATAACAATAAATAAAAAACAGTAACATGTAAATATAGTTTTTATACCCATAAAGGCAGCTATTACATCTTAATTAATAAAAGCCCTCTACTACTCTATTTGATTCCATTGAAAGTCAGCATTTGGGCCTTACAGTGTGGACACAAAGCTGAGTGCTAACCAATTTGGTCGCAGTTGTTTTTTTAAATAATTAATTATATAACTATCCTTATAATATTATTCATAATATTTTAAGGAAGGTGTTACATATGAATGTGAATGGTTATAAGGGCAGAGGAAGGACGGAAAAGCGATGTATGGACTATATCAAAATTTATAGCCTATGTTATTCTGATGAATAAGCTATATTACTGTAAACTTTAATCAAAATCCATTTAGCAGTTTTTGCATAAGAGAGTAACAGTTTATAATATTAATAACATTTTAAAAATACAAATATTATTTGATTTAGTTGATTATACATTGTACCCCGATACCCGATACCCATTAGGCGAACCTGGATCGCGGGAAAACAAAAGAATCATCACATGTTAATACCTATTACAAAAAAGCGTGTAGAGTACATTTTATATATCATAAGAGCCTGGAATAGACCCAGACAAATGAAGACATTTATTGAAGATATTCGTATTCATTATTTATATTATTAAACGGGTCTTAACAGGAACTTTTATGGCAAATAACCTCTCTCGACGTTAAAGATCTGTTTTATAATATAAATGTATATGTAACACGAAAGATTAAAAATACCTATATTTGTATTATACCTTCTATGTTCCAACATGGCCTTCCGGTCAGCCTCACGTTTTTCAGCGGCACGACGCGCACGCTCGTTGTTGGGGGGCGGCGCCGCTCGCCGCGGCCGGGGCGTCGACGCAGTACCCGAGGGGGCTGCAGCCGCGCGGGGGCTCGGGTTCGATACCTGAAAACAGAATAGAATTTGAATTAATTGATTTACAAACAAAATCTTCCTTTTATTGAATTTAAATTTAATTAATTGTTAGTTGATGGTATTATGTCCAGGCAATACTAGCTATTTAGTTATTGGCAACTGTTTTGAATGAATTTCTTATAAAATATACTTTTAAAAGTTCTAAAAAGTGTTTGCGACTACATAATTATGTCTAAGTTTTAAGTTGTTGTTGTTAACTCATCATCGTCAACATCACCTCAGCCCGGAAGACGTCCACTGCTGAACAAAGGCCTCCCCCAAAGATCTCCACAACGATCGCTGCGTTGCTCGGTTAACTCACTATAACCTCTTTAACGCTAATCAAATTTCTTCTAAGATAGTACATTATTTGGGAAGATGTATTTATAAACATGATATGAATCCTCAAACGTTAAATACTTATTTACTTATTATAAATAACGTATTTATTTGTATAAGGATACTTAATTTTTAACTAAATTGTCCTTCACGTAATTTGATTTCGACACTAGGACCTCAAATGTTGGGCCCATGCAAAGTTGCTAATTATGAATAAATAAATAAAATTATAGACAGTACCTCCTTCCAGTTGTTGGCTTTTAGCTGTGCTATATGCTCATACAAAGCATCAACATTCTTCACTTGGAGGCACACCATATCCCAGAATCCTTGGAGGTCCTCCACTGTAGTGGGGAATGGCTCATCAAGTCTCTCGTTGATATTGTTGTAACAGAGACCTGGAAGTTATCAAAATAAACATACATTTGGAGAAAATGTCTTAATTTCTTATTTTTGGTGTTAAGTCTAAGATTTTTAGAGATATTTTTGGGATAAAGGCAAGGCAATGATGATGATGATTTGTGCATTAAAGTTTTAATAAAGAAATAATTTAATAGCCTATGGTCTAGAAAATCAAAATATCTTTATTCATGTAGGTCTATTACAGACTATGATGGTATGTCAAATCCACCGTCAGTTCAAAGTGCTTTCGAGCTAACAACTGACAAGAAATTCAGCTCTTATTCCTTTCAAATGAGGTTGTACATTATTACAAAAATACACATTCATTTCTAAATTCCATTAGAGAATGCAAAATCAAAATATCTTCATTCATATAGTTCTCTTACAGACTTATGATATGTCAAATCTACCGACAGTTCGGAGGGCTTTCGAGCAGAGAAGAACTGATAAGAATCTCGTATTCTTTTCAAATTTGGTTGTACATGTTTACAATAATACCGATTCATTTTCTAAATACAAATTTGGGAGAATAGAGTGACCCCCAGCATATGCTATTGCAATTTTGTCAAAAGTAGTCTAATCAATGTTCATAACCAGAACAGATCAGTTCCCATAAGCAGTACTCGTTCACGAGTATGACGGATAAGCCAACTATCATTATACTGTTGGATGTATAAATAATATCAATTTCACCAAGTTGACTTTATACAAAGTGGGTATGATGTTTTCGTTTGAATTCAATATTTGAATGGTTGCGCAACGATGTGTGGGTGATTTATCTGCTTACAACAAACAGTATCAACAACAACCGGTCCTGATAGCAATTGATAGAATATGTCGCAATAGCCAGTTCTGTACTATACTATACCGAGACGACCTCGATGGTCTAGCGGTTTAGCACACCGCTTTACTTCCGATTGTCGCGGGTTCGATTTCTCGCACGGTACAAACTTTTATATTCAAAAGTATGATAGTTTGTAAATTAAGTATTTATATCAGTTGTCTAGTACTCATACCACAAGCTCTGCTTACCCTGGGGGCGTTGTGTGAATTGTCCAGGTGTGTTAAAAATAATAGTCAATTAAAGATATAAGAAGTTGGTCAGTGTGACCCGTGACTCTAAAATACGATACCGAATAATCTCGACCATCGCAAGTAAAGCGGTGTGGTAAATAATAATAATAATTGACTGCCCCTACGGAGGTCTGTGGTCCAGACCACCAAGGTTGTCATTTCCACTTGGCGTGTCGTATATCACTTACGGGCCGAAACCAAGGAAGTGCAGTGCGTGTGTTTGTGTGTGTGTGTGCGCGTGTGTGTTTGTCTTGTGTACTTATTGTGAGCATTTAAATTTACGTAATAGTTGTTTTGTCATTTTTATCTATTTTCTGGAATTTTCGACATTATTATAGATAAATTATTAACCTTCAAACTGCTGCATTTTCTGCGTAGCCAGCAGACGCGCCTTGCCAGCTGCTGAGCGGAGCAGACCGAGAATCTCCTCACTGACATCTTCATTCTGAAATTTTATTAATTAAATTAATCATAATTTTTACACATAATAATATTGTGACGGGACGAAAACTGTCTGACCTTAAGGTATCACGTAAAAAGGATCAAAGCAATAAAATAAAATTTTTAACTAAATGTTTTTAAATGTATATCTATATATCCTTACTAATATTATAAATGCGACAGTAACTCCGTCTGTCTGTATGTCGTGCTTTCACGCCAAAACTATTGAACCGATTTAAACGAAATTTGGTATACAGATAGTACAGATCCTAAGACCTTTCTTATGTCTTTATATAGGCTACTTTTTAATGCGAAAGAAGATTGGTAAGAGGTTGAAAAGGGAGATGAAATATCTTCATTCTAAAAGCTAGAGAATAGAAACTTTTTTTGTAGGCTGTTGATTAAATCTAAACAAATATAACACTTAAAGTTTGTAAAAAATTTACTCTAAAGGTAAATATTCCACACAGACAAAGTTGCGGGCACAACTAGTGCTAAATAAAACTTAGAAAAAAATTAGGGCAAAATTTGTAAATTTATTTCATTAACAACAATTATTAATTTATTACATAGGTTATATAGGTTATGTTGATATAGCATAAGAAACTAAAGAAATTATGTGATTCCGGATGAATACAGAGCTGAGCACTGGTCTATAATAGCAATAAGATTATTTTATATGCAGCGACATTTAGGTATATTAATGTTGCGTTGTGAACATTTTGGATGACATGGGGGTGGGGGAGTCTGTATGATGATTACGTCATCGGTCGTAATTTACTTTTTTACACGAATCGAAAAAAAACACTAAAGAGATAATACAACGGGGGATGGGGGGTAAATAATTGTGATAAATCTGCTTACGTAATACTTGAACAGCCTCTACCCCGTTTGGTATGGCAGCCGTGAATATATATAATTTTATTATTGTACTTCTAATAAATTGCGCCGGTAGATGTCGTTAAGAAATGTCAAATGTTAACTTTAACTTAACAAATGACGTAACATTTATTTATAAAAGTTAAGTAAATAATTTACATAATGTCACGGCCATGTTTGTTCTTCACAGTTTCGGGTATTCAAAGTAGATATCAGTTAAGTTTTGTATATATTTACAGAAATCCAGTATTAGGACTTTGACCAATATTGACGTGACTTAAAGAGACACAATCACAGAAAGGTGATTGTTAGTAATGGGGAACAGTAGCCGCATTGCTAACAATTTACTATATTAGGTCGACCTCCACCCGGTCCACCCTGGAAACCGTCGTGGTTAATTCTTAGGGATTTCGTCACGATGGGCTAACTGACCTAACTTCATGCTCATCCTATCGCTGGCGTCCTCCAGTGGTGCCCAGTGGAGGATGCCAACGTGAACCGTCAGCGCAGGCGGGTGCACCATTTCATTATCATCCATAAACCAGGGAGGGTTTTTCTCTCTTCTCCACCACATAGTTAATGGAATTACTTAGGCTTTTTATTTCAGAAATGTTATTAATTTTAATACATAAAAGTTGAATTCCAGGCGGTCTATTACACTTAGATTGTGGAATTAACTACCTGTCGAGATTACAGCATGGGGTTTTTCAAGAAGGGTATATTTATGTTTCGTAAGAGTCAGCAACAGAGTCTGTCTTCTGTTTGTGAGCTGTTCACAACTGAACTTAATGAAATTTAGTGTAAAGACATTAGTATGATGTATTACGAATGGTATCTAGAATATCTTTTAACTGAAAAAAGCAGATAAAATCGCAGGTAACAACTAGTTATTAGTACAAATTCGTTCACAGATCAATTTTAACATTAAACTTTGACTGACACTGGTCATCTACACTCCCCTTGAGGGTGTGAAGGTCACCTCAGGGCGAGCCCCTTTGCCTCGTCATCGACTCCGGGGTCAACAACCCCCGGGTAACGGGATTAAAAGCCTCTTAGGGCGGATTACTATAAAATAACGTATGCTAGTGACTTTTATAATTAGATTAATAGGTATTTACAATTACTACTAAACGTATCCTAACTTAAGAAGTAGTGTCATACTTAAGGATTGGTTTAATTTTGTTTTGTTTTAAGACGTCTAAAGTTTTGACTGACCTACGACAATTGTAGGTGGAAGGGGATCGTTATAAATGTGGAATGATGATCCCATCCTTAGCAATGGTTTCCAGAGAAACCGCTTGGTAAATATAAATTCCGCTTGATAAATTCGTGGTGAATTTGTCACGACGGGCAAACTAACCTGACCTTATGTTCATTTTATCATCCTCCTCTGGGACTCCGCCAGCGTAAACCGCTAGCCAGCGGGTGCACCATTCCATTCATCCATTAAATATAATACACAATCGTCGCAAATCTATACATAAAATTGGAGTGTCTGTTTGTAATATTGAAATAACCGTTTTATACAACATGCATATGAATATAAATACGGTTTGATGGGACTTTTATTGGCAGGTAGCTGATGTAATTAGAAGTAACTTAGGCTACTTTTATTTTAGAAAATTCTATAATTAACTTTTTTGTTAAATTCGCGGACGAAGTCGCAGGTACAGCTAGTCTCCAATAAATTTAGAATGACGGACCTTACCATATTCCGTACCTATCTTTCACTAGTGCCCTTCTAGTGTTTATATTAGCAAGCGTTTACATTGTACCAAAAATTTGCATACGATTAGAAAATATTTGCCTCTCTCCTCGTACATACAAAATAAATATTAGTCACAATTGCTAAACCAAGGCTTATATATTACAATGGTTTTCTAAATTTCTGTGAAAGGTCACTTGTTAACTGAGAAACTGATTTGCACATAACAAGATGTTTCAAATGAGAAACATATTTTGTTAGCAATGTACCATGTCAGGTAGACCTCCATGGAAACCTTGATAAACTGAACTTGATTGGTGAATTTATCATCAACTAATCTCATGCTTATCATCTTTCACTGGTGCCAACCAACGATTAAAAATATATATGTTTATCGTAGTTCAAAAAGAAGTTATTCTGAATTTCTCTGTTTTCATATTAAGGTATTTTTTTAATTGGAATAGCAAACAAGTTGAAGGCCTACCCGATCGTAACTGCTTTTGCTGCCCTTCAACCGTTACACAATTGTTAGATAGTAGATGTCTTACGGCATTATGTTCAGGAATTGTACACATTTATAATAGTGCAATAAACAATAAATAAATATGTTCAGTAACTTACTTGTAGATTTTCTAGTTCTTTCTCCGCAGTAACGGATAGAGCCAACAGCCTCTCCGTCTCCTTTTTCTCCAAATCCAAGAAATAATGTCCATCTTTCACTTCTTCCTGCACACCATTACTCTTCCCACCATTAACACTAATCACTGGCTCATTAACACAAATCACCGCTTCATTCTCTTTTGCATCATCCAAATTTATCACAGACAAACCATTTGTAATTACATCACTGGCATCCTCTTCAGTCTTCTCGGGTACTGGAATGTTTTCGGGCTTCTGAGGCGACAGTTCAGGCTTCATACTCTTCTTTGGTGACAATATTGGCAATTGCGCCCTGAACTCTGGCCTCAGATGCCTGAGCACAGGCAGAGATACATCTGATTCACCATTGGGACTAGAATACATATTTTCGCTCTCGAAACTCTCCGATTTCCGTGGCGTCACGAACCTTTCGCTTGGACAGTTCATAGATTTCTCTGTCAAAACTTTTGGTTCGTCTTCGTCGCTCAGGCTCTTTAATTTATGCCTTTTCTGATTGAAGAAACCCTGAGCGAGTGCACCTGGTCCGTATAGTCTTTCCACGCGTTGCTGTATAAAACTCTTCATTGGACTCGTCAACTTTTCACCGTTTTCTTTCGTAATTTCTACACGCTTGGACATGCCGTTTGATGATATTGTATACGATTCTGAACTCACAAAACGTGATTCCTTTCCATTTGTTGTAACAGTCTTCCTAAAATTCGTTTCGGAGTAACTTGACTTGAACGTTGTTAGTTCTTTAGCATTGTCCACTTCATCCTTTTGTCGTAGCATGGAGGCGGCGAAATTTTTGCTCTCGTTGGAGATGTATTGTCTACTTGTAGTCGTCATGCTGGGGCCTAAGAAGTCGTTCTTTAGTTGCTTATTTTCGGCTGCCATGTATACATGTAGCGGTGACGTTGCTAAATATGGATCTGTGTGCGCCTTGGAAGGCGCTTTCGCTGTCAAATCCGTGCGTGTATCATGAGGTCCGAAGGTAGGAACGAGCAGTTTATTCGCGCTCACAGGAACTGGTACAAGAAGGGAGTTATTCTCAGTTCTGTACTGATACGTGTGTGTTATAGGTCTTATGGGTGATGCTTCCCGACTCTTATTTATATCCTGCCTCAATTTTGAGTCGTAAGTTGTCAAATTGGTGTACCCATTTACGGAGCAAGCTAGGTTTAAGTAGCTCGGCTTCTTGTGTGTTACTTCGTCACGTTTTTTATGGTGTCCCCTAGATCTGTGACTGCCTGCGTCGACGTGAAGTTTCGGGGGTGGTTTCAAAAGGTTATCTGATTTTTTCGGGGTAGGTGTGGCGTCATCTAGTAAGCGTGTGGGGGTAGGTATTGGGGTAACTTGAGGGGGCTGATTAGACGCTCGTTCCTGGATTCTAGACGTGAAGTCCCGTATGCGGCTTGTCGTGGACGACGGTGTTAGGAGGTTCAAGCTCCCAGAGGTGGTATCTGTAAGATAATTTGAAATGCATTATATATACAAATTGAAACATTATCATGTAATTACCATATCAATTCGTAATTTGGTATTTTTAATTACAATCGTTTATTTTTATCAACTATCGATTAACAGCCAACTCATTAATAGAGTACAGTAGTGAACTGAGTATGTATTGGAATATAATGGTGTAGTAATAATATTATAATATAATATTTTTTTGTCTAATTATAATTAATTTAACAATTTATATATCAGCAGTGTTTTCGTTTTTCTTTTTTATGTATCTTTGTTCACATAAGTTCACAAGGAATTTACAAAATGGATGATATGTTGCAGTTAAGGTAATATTTTAAACACAAATTTGTATAAAAGCACAAATATTAATAATAATCGATGTAAATTAGATAGCAGTGAATTGAGATTACCACGGACACCATATATTTTTTGACGTTCATGGTGTTAATGAGTAGTTGGTCGATCAGTTACAATTTCCACCAGGAGAGTTAACCTATTTGCAACTTTCTAACTCAATTTCTTCAGATACTTTTTAACACTTGTTGTATATTATAATTATTTATTTGCCTTGAATATGTTACTTTGTTATTAGGAATAAATATAGTTTCATCATCTACATTCTGAGCATGCAAATTTAATTCAAGAATATTATTAAATTTTATAATCATGATTCCCTATAATCAAAAGTCAACAGAAATCTATCTATCAATTTATCTATGTTCCAATATTGAATTCCTTAGTGCCACTAATACAAATACAGTTAATCTACAAACTAAAGTGTATCTAGTAATACTTGAAAAACTTTTTACTTACAATAAATAAAAGCTAGATAGTAGTCACACATGATGGATGCATAAATTAAAGCACACTACAAATAAATATTATAAAATAATTTAATATTCATAACCAATGGAAAAGCAAACAATTTTATTACTTATCAATGTACACATGATTGCTGTGAATATTGAATATTAAACATAATTCCTTAGATATTACATCGCCATATCTAATCTTGGGATTGAGTATTTTAATGAGTAAAGGTTGATGATATTTACTGATTGATACAAACTTTTTTTTTATCTAGTTGGAATCACAAACTGATGGCTAATCTAAGTGGTCTATATCTAATATCACAGGTATCACATCATCATGTGATGAGATAGATCCTAATATATTCCCATTTGGAAGGACTAAGCTATCCTGCTATCATGTCATCCTATCCTGTAATTTCACTGATATGTCTCACACTTCAATTCCAAACAGCTTACAGAGCAGGCTGTTTGGCCTCAGGTTCACCCTATAAGCCTCCATTGCTGTCCCGTCAGTAAATAATGTTAGTGTAGGTAGCCAAACCATGCTATTAAAAAGAAATGGATGGACTCTGTGAAAGATGATATGGCAAAAAAGAAATTGAATAATAAGAAGACTCAGAACTGTGTTAGATGAAAGGGAAAAACATATTATGTCCATCCCAAATCATTACATAGTCTAAAATAAAGTCACTTTCACTGTCTGTCCTTATGTATGCTCAAATCATAAGATAGAGTAATTCTAGAGGAAGGTTTATATATATAATACATGTACACCCGTGCGAAACCGGGGCGAGTAGCTAGTAATGGCATTAAGAATAAGCAAATAATAAAAATACATATATCACTGATATTATAAAATATTACAAAGCCAGACACATTTTAGACAAATGAAGCAATAATTCAAATAGAAAATGTATGTACACAAACAAATAATGGAGTTGAAGGAATTATTACGACTTTGAAACACCAACAAATGACTCACATCCATTCACGCTAGTTGTGAAAGACTTGAATGTTAATGAATGATCTTCTGCGTCAAATACTATAGAATAGTTAATGGGTGCATCCTTAACAGATATTCTCATAATTACTACTCCCACCTTTGTTTTTTAATTAAAAACCTTTATATAACTGATGGTAAGTTATTTTAAAAAAAAGGTAAAAGTTTTTAGGTAAAAGGTTAAAGTTAGGTAAAAGTAACCATTTTTCATGGATGTGAATGGAATGGTGCACTTGTGCTAACGGTATACGCCGGCTGGGCACCAGTGGAGAATGATACGATGAGGTCAGGTCAGTTAGCCCATTGTGATGAAATCACCAGGAATTAACCATTGGTTTCCAGGAGATATATCAACATGGTACAGTGCTAGCAATGGCATCACTAGTACCAATTACATGCTTTATTGCTGTTGCCATCATGTTTGTGAGGAGAAATAAATAAATAATATTATTCACAATTGCCTACCGCCAGACAGTAAAGAATAAGAAGCATGACATCTTAATCATAATTACATGATAGTTTTATGACAATTCGAAAATATTCACTATACAGGCAAGCATTACCATTCACTGATGGTAAAGACAGAAATAAAGAAAGAAAGAAAAACATTTATTGGCAACCATTATTAAAAAAACATAAATATATTTATATACAAACAATATACATACATAAACATATATATTACATATGTATAGGTAAATGGTAAACCATCACCTATATAGTGGTTGATTGTGTGTTTATTTGCCCTTTACAATTATAAACAAATAATAAATAAATAACACTAGACAATTAACACAGGGCCTCCTAATTCCATGATAATCAGAGCTTATGTTATGGGTACTAGACAACTGATATAAATACTTAGATATACATATATTTTTGTAAATGGATACATAATATACATAGAATACACCCAGACCGATACAAACAATCATACTAAAAAATACAAATATTTGCACCGTACGAGGAATCGAACCAGCAACAAACAGAAGTAAAGACCTGCGCTAGACCATGGAGGCCATTGGAAAGAGTCACATAATTACAATTATTCGCTGCACCAACAACTGTTCATTACTAGAAAATGCAGAATGGTGTTAAGTCAAATGTACCATTGTATTATGTTATTGAAGTTAATTAAATAAAAAAAAAACTGTAGTTTAAGGTACAGTTTTTTTTTATTAATAGTATATAGCCACAGCAATGCATGGCAGACCCGGCCATGCATCACTGTGGCTAAGGTTCCTGAATAAAATAATATTGCGAGTATATATTGAGATTTAAACTATCCTACCTTTTAAATTGGATCAAATTGCACACAATATGCAAAGCAAATTTACAATCAGTTTAGTACTTTAGGAGTCCATCGCAGACAGAAAATGTGACACGTAATTTTTATATATAAAGATATGCAATTAATACCAAAGATAAAATTAAAGATGACTCATTAAAACATTACAGATAAGGTTATCTCATGAAACTAGTAAATTGCATTAATCATATAAACAATTATCTCAATTTGATAGTTGTTTATTATAATGCAAGCAAAATACTATCTAGAATAAATCCAGATTTTGATACATTAATTTTAATTACTTTTTAATTAACTTGCCCTTACTGTTATATAAAATTTATAAAAACAAACTTCATAACCTAACAAGTATAATAATAAACAATATTAATCATGTATCACATAAAACTTGTATTGTTTTACCCTAATTCTTTATCATTCAATTTAAAAATAAACTATAGTATCTGTTATGTAAGTTACATATATAATAAAAAAATATGTACATTGTTTTTACCCCACTACGCTAAAATTAAAAAAAATATAATCCGCAAGCAGCTTCATTTTTGCCTTTGCCTTGCAAAGTAAAAAAAAATAAACCCACCGGATAACAAGAATAGTAAGATGATACGTTCATATGTGATTCAATTAGACATCCACTCATTCATCCAAGATATTTCATTACTCATCTAAAAGACCCACTGAGTAGAGAGTACTAGAAATGTGTGAATTCAATCTTTATATATTACTGTGCAACTTTTATATTTTTTGCATGTAAATTATGGCAGGTAGAAATTCTAAACTTTCTGAACATATAACACAAAGAGAGTAATAATAAAAGGAAATCTTACCAAACAATAATGTAGCGACAACAAATATATAACAAACAAAAACAAATCACGTATTTAAGATATTATCGGTAAAATACACTGAAAGTTTTATTATGAGAACACAATACAAAATTTCACATACAATTTATGACATAAGTCACCAGACACATATGCACCTAACGACGACAAATGACAATAAGCAAAACGTCAGACTGAACTTTTTAATTTTACGTATACTGGAAGTAAGGGAGTTTACACAACACGGTCAATATGGGCCCGGATGGCGTGGCGTTCCGTTTCATGTACGATTCACAGTAATGTTATACATCCTATCAATCTAGATTCTTTTTACCATTTAATAACGGAAGATCGTTTTAAGATCATTCGCGTGTCCGTATCCGACGATAGATACGACGGCAGTGACCGGACTTCCATCCATAGATGTGCGTGGGCTAAAACGAGGCCGCCACATCTATTCGTGTGTGTGTATTCTTTTTGCTTGTGACTTGCATTTTGCAACCTGCATTGTTTGCTGCTTACGGCCTACATTATTGAATATTGTTTGATTTACCGAATGATTACTTTTGATGTACTTATTCGATTATATTTAAATGGTTTCTTTTATATTCCACCTATTTATAATTTGATATTATCTTTTTACATCAGAAAATAACTTGAGCGTGTAACCTGCGCAGTAACAAGTTTACTCTTATTTGTCCACTGCGCAACTGATTGTTTGTGGTTTTGTTAAAAAACAAAACATTTGGCGCGAATTACTCAACTTAATATGGCCGATTAAAAAGTTAACGAAAAAAAAATATGGCTGAAATATATAGATTTTATTGCTTTAATAAATTGTTATATGGATTTCAATACAATCTGGTAGATAGATATAATATACTCTTTAAACGAAATTTGACGGGTAACAACCCCTGATACAATAGTATAATATATATTTGAATAATTATAATTAATATATAGGTAAATAACACACGGTAGTTGCACGACACCGAAATGTGTGTCAAGTTTACTTCTGTCGAATAATTTATGCATGTACTAATTGTAATACGAGGATAATTTATTATTATTGGCGTTTGTATACAGAATTCGTTTGTATGGATATTAAGTATACGCATATTTAAACTAATGAGTAATAATTAAAATATATATAAATAGGTATATTTTTAATTACCTACGTATTACACGTCACCACCCAGTCTCACAAATGCAAATATAATTAAATGGTAAGAATATATAATTTATACGTTATATCTATTTATTAAAAAAAAACTGATACTCGCTAGTCCCTGCTCACAGACTATACTATATTTTCTAATTACTAACTAGTATGAAATTTTTAAGAATACAATAGTAATAATCATTATTCAATTAAACTTAATATAGTCACCTTTGTATAGTCATATTTTTTATTCTACAACTCATTCGTAACGGAGACTCATCACAAGAAGAACAAGCAAAAAACTTACGTGTTGCTCTTTTAATAAAAGTTGTTCTAAGGAAATACACATTAACAATGATTAGGCATGCGACACCGACTACAAGCGACCGCTACTCAATCTTTGTTCAGTCAGATAACACTGGCAGCGCTATGAATTTTAAGTTAGATATTTTCTAAAAAAAAAAATATTATTATTTATAGCAGCAACAGAACTGCAAACTATTTACCAATATACTTTCACGGAGCTGTCGAATTTAAATTTTAAATGAGCGCTAAGTTTATCAGATCTAGAAAAGTCATTTCTAGATCGGCCCCAATATAAGAATCTATTACAAGTAGTTAATCAGGTCTAGTAGGAATTATATAGAATTTGATTTAATTAAATTATCTATACAAATAAATAAAATTGAAGTGTCTGTTTGTAATTTCAAATAACAGCATTTTATTAAATGTATATGAAAGTATTTATTGTACTTACATCATAAGATAAATTATGTCTGTCTGTTTGTTCATGCTAATCTCTGAAACGCCTGGAATTTTAGTCGCAGATAGCTAATGTTATAAGGAGTAACTTAGGTTACTCTTACGTTAGATTTTTTTATTATTTTAAATCCGCGGATGACACTGCGGGTAACAACTAGACTTTAAATAAAATAAAATTTTGAAGAATTGAACATGTTTGCATGTTAAGGTTGCTCGTAGAAACGGATGCAGAAATTAGGATGAAATTATCACACGATATATTGATAAATGTGAGCCAACTATATTTTTGAAATACCAGTAATATAGTAGTTTTTTATTAATCTTAAGTACGCCCTCTATTATTGTTAATGAATTCAGTAATAAAATACACCACTAGTTGTACAAATAAGTAGGTAAGGATTTGTTTGTCGTTTAGGTAAATACACACGCTTCAATGATTTAAAAACTTCTTTCAGTTATGAATACCTATAAGTTATAATTGCGAGTTTCATTTCTTTTAATAAAAATAAAGGTAAATCTACAATAACTGCATTTATTATATACACGACGCAAAACATTTGTATTCATGAATATGATTGTTTATATCAGTCTGGGTATTTACTATGTATATATAAAAATGTATCCAAGTATGTCTATCAGTTGTCCAGTAACCATAACACAAGCTCTGCTTAGCTCGGGACTAGATGGTGTTGTCAATTGTACATGGGAATCATTATATTAAAACGTGAAGCAAAAACTTTTTACAAAATTGTATGGACGGAGGAGTAAATCATCAAATCAAATCAAATCAAATAAATGATTTGATTTGATTTGTAAATGTCCAAGGTTATTATTACTATCCAAGTCGGAGCGCATCTCTAGTTAGAAATATTCTTACAATGTGCGTGCAGCTTTACGCCGAAAATAAATGCAATCTGATGAGAGACAGGAAAAACGGTACATCAATATAGGAATCAGAAGTGTGTGAATAAGATGCGGCTGATAGAAACCATCCAGACATATGGTAGATATCGGTTAACTGGCGACGACTGATTTGTGCAGTCGAATTGAAATTAACGCAAATGTTTGATCGCCTTTGGAGTTTGTACTATTTAATATAAATGTTATTCTCATTGAACTATAATATAATACATACCAAACTACAAAATATTACAAAATCTCCTTACATTCTTCCCGATAAAAATCACTCTCAAAGTCACTAATGTGACTTTGTCCAACTTAATAAGATGGATGCAGGGGGAACGGCATTGAATAGCCCAAGAATGTGCCAGGTTCACCTCCACGTGGTTCCCCCTGATAAATTCATGGGTATTTACCAAGATGAGCTAATTGACCTAACTTTATTCTCATCTTACTATCCTCCACTGATGCCCCGCCAGCGTAAACCGTCAGCGTTGGCGGCTGCACCGTTCCATTATCATCCATAAGAAGTTTACTTCTAGTATCTTCTGAACTATGCTTAGTTTGTCAGTAACTGTCTACCCTTGGTGCGTGCGAGTCCTGACTGCAGCCCACCAGCGTAAACCGTTAGCGCAGACAGGTGCACTATCATCATCCATTACATTATCATCCATAAGAAAAAAAACATATAATTTCTCCTAAGTTCGCACAAGCAAGCATTCAGTCTACACTCAAGCATCGTGAACACAATAAATCAAGTTAGCAAACTTATCATTTAAACGAGATCTTAGCAGAATGTATGTGTCACAGTAGACATTTTATATAACATCGTACATGTTATTAACAATCCTCAATTGTAACAGCTTAAAAATCTACAATTTTGCAATTTTTTTTAGTCTAACACTCTTGACATAGTTATCGTGGGTTTCATGATGGTATCTCTTCGTTGTCCTCCTTAGCGACAGAGATCCTCACATTCATAGTGACACATGGTCACCAGCCACACATTTCCTCAGTCGGCTACTTTAAAGTATCCGGCCTCACCTCATTAAAGCGACGTAAGGAACGACGCTGGGGTGGTTCACCTCAGCAGAATGCCCGGGAAAAAGCACAAGCTCTAGGCTCGAACCCAGCGGTCCGTGAGGGCCAACAGATGATCCCGAACTGGAACTCACAATTTGTTTCCACCTGGTATGGTTTTTGGCTGTACGAGAACATTGTACAATGGACTGCTGTGTAGCCTTTTTTAAACTTACCATTGGGCATTTAACAGTTAAACTGTGCGACTTAGCTCACATCAGCAACTCTCAAATAGTTCATAGAAAATTGCAAACCTAATAATCCATTACGATTGAGAATTCTTAATAACACATATAATTAAGGTCCTGCTTAACGCAAATGTCACTTGATCTATCTGATTCAATTAAATATCACATTCAACGTAAACAAAGAGGAAACTGAGATAAAATATTTGATAATAGATAAAATGAGTGAAAATTTATAGAGATGAATAGAAATAGTAGCGTAGAAGCATTACAAATACGACACGTAGGAAATAAAGAAAACACAGAGACAATGAAAATTACACAGGTATAATTTATTATGATATGTATGTATTGAAATTATACATAATAATTTATTTATTCGTATGAGCTTACTTTATTGAAATTGTGTTTAGACCTTCGATAGTTTAGGTAATTTGGTTTTAAATATTTAGAGGTATTTAGAATGCACATTCTTTCTATAACAATAATTGTAATGTAAATTAAGTTGCACAAGTACAACATTAATTGTTTGACAATTTGGAAAATCCCAACAAATTTATTATTATACAATTTTTAATAAAATAGCTTTTGCAGGGCGATAATAATGTCAATGCTAAAAACATTATACAAGGTAAACTCATACAAATAAATATAAAAACAATAAATAATGATACTGAATACATTCACATGCTACACAGACATACAAGAGAGCACACAGACGAAATCTTGAAATTACCTGAGAAATCCGTGCTCGCGTCGACATCCAAAGAACAACTGCCAATTGAATCCACAGATTTGTCCATGACTTTAACAGTTAAATCCTTAGAACAGTCTTTTAGCAAATCGGCTTCCTTAATTTCTATTTCATAAGCACCAATACTGTCAAGATCATTGTCTATTCTCTCATCGTGGGACTTTGGTGATACTGTAGAACTAGGTAATTTTATATCAGTCTCATCAGTATTTATTGTTAGTATCGAATCTGGTTTTAAAGTTAAATCTCCTGGAATGTTTTTTTCTAATATTAACGTGCTTTGACTCGTGAAGTTACTTCGTATTGGCTCAATGTATTCTACGTCATCGTCATCGTTGAATAGATGATTGGCATGTCCGCTCGGGCCTTGTACGTCGGTGGCGTCTTTAGGGACAGCGTCTATAACAGTTCGTGACTTAATTAAGCTTTTATAGTAATGGCTTTCTAGTTTTTCCAATTGTCTTCTTGTGTCCGATTGTTTTTTGCGGACTGAATCTATAATAACCGGAAGATTCAGGAGATCTGGAGTTTTCTCCCCATTGCGTGGGGATTTCTCACGTCTGAATAAGGGTGAGTCATCACTTTCCAACTCAAAACGTTTATATTTAGATGAGCAATAATCATCAACGGAGGATGTATCAGATTTCTTTGAATCGAATAAACCGTCGAGAGAGAAAAACGATTTGCGTTTTTTCTTTGGTTGGCTAGCCTTGTCAAAATTTGATGTCACAAATGGCTCGCTTGTTTTAAAATGATGCACGCAAATATTACTCGTATTAACGAGGGACTTAGGACGAGATTCTTTAGGGAGACTCAACGGGACACGATTAGTTTCAACTTTCCGGGAATCTAAACTAAGCGTCTTCCGAAATCTTTCATTCAGGTTAGCTAAAAGGAAATGTCGACGTTCCGTCGATTTTGGAGTTACACTGTATGAACTTTGTTTACTGCTGGAAGGCTGTGGAATTGGAATGTGTTCTCTATATTTGAATTCTATATCGTTTTCTGAAAAATCTTTGGGTTCTTCTGATTTGCGGTAAGGCTCTGAGGGGCATAAAGAAGACTGTCTGTTCTCAGGTCTATGGAAAGAAAACGAACCTCTATCGGACGACCGTTTCTTTCCATCGCAGACGCAGTTACCAACACAATTCAATCTAAGACATTGTTTCTCTTCCCTTTCAACAGATATGTCATGGTCATTTGGAATGTAATTATCCGGTTTGTTAGTATGTTTGTGAATTAAGAGATCTTGGCGGATTTTTTCCAATCTTTCATCGCCATGGAGGCCTCTCGTATATTTAGACTTTGGTGGTCTAAAAAATCTTATAGAACCAGTTGTATGCGGCTCTATTGATCTCCTTCTAACAAATGATGGAGAGTCAGTTATCTTGTTAACACCAAGAAGAAGCACTGGCGACTTTTTGTCCTCTTCATCCGGTAGGTCACTGGAAAGAGAGAAAATATATAAAACGTTGTTTAAGAAATGGTCAATCTGGGTGCAGTTATATTTTGTAACAGCTTCTTTCGCTAAATTATATCCGTAAATTTACATCGTTAAGTGACTTTTTACATGATAAAATTTACTTTAAATATACTTTAGTGCATTAAGCAAAGGATCTAATTTTGAAATCAATAACAAAACAAATCACGATCAATTTTGTAAATTTTATACAATGAAACCCAAGCATAAACAAAATACACAAAAAGCGCAAAAAATGTAAAAAAAAAGCGTTAATAAACAAAATAAATACTCACACAAACACACATATTAAACATATAGTTGTTAATTCCGTTATGAAAACGAACAATTTGTAAATTTATATCAGTCGTCTAGTATCCATCGCACAAACTCTGCTAAGTTTGGGGACTAGACGATACTGCACGGTTGTAGTTGTAATGTAATTGTTCTAGGTTATATATTTAATTTTAAAGATCTTCAATATTTAGTTGATTTTCTGATTATAACAAAAGCTCTTCAGAAGTTAACCACAATAAAAATATGGTAATATATTTTCCAAGATTTCGTAGGTAGAAAATAATAAGAAAATCTCATTATGCAAATATTATGTTATAAGGAATTTAATTGCATATAAGTATTCATAAATTCGTAATTGTAAATTTTTTTATTATGTATAATCTTCACTAACTTATTTCAGTATATATTTGTGAATTTTATGTTGTTTCTGATATACCTTTACAATTAAAATAGAATTTCACAATTATTTTTAAACAATAAATTCTGAGGTAATAAAATAAGAACTGTACTGAGAACCTCCTTTTTCGAAGTCGGTTAAGAAATATTAAAAACTGCAGGAAGTAGGTACATAGACTCCCAAACGTCGCGGTCGCGTGCAACTAGCTGTAAAAGGGCAAATATGTGACACAAATAATAAGGGTAGGGCGTGCCAGGTACAGGCAACAAAGTTTGCTTCCTGCATTACTAAAGAAACATCGTACCTAAGAGAAATTAAATTGTATACAGAGTTGTCCGGAACGGGAAATACAAATCGAAAGTCAGTGACAGTATTCATGAAACTTACATTTCCCTAAGAACTAATGTGAAACAATCTTTATCTTTACGTACCAAATCAAATCATAATATCTTTATGCGTGTAAGTGTATCACAGATTCTTACGTTATGATCAAATCTACCGTCAGGGCGAATGGATTTTAAGTACAAACTGACAAGTAACTCAGCTCTTATTCTTTCCAAATAAGCTTCAAATCATATCAAAATATTCTTTATCCTTGCAGATTTATTACACACTCTTAACATATGATCAAATCTACCGTCAGGTCGGAGAGCTCTTAGCTACAACTTGACAAGTAACGCAACTCTTTTCAAATGAGCTCCAAATCAATTTAAATCAAAATATGTTTATGCATGTAGGTCTATTACAGATTTTTATGATATGTCAAAAACTGACAAGTAACTCAGTTCTTATTTTTTTCAAATGAGCTGGTATATGATTACAAAAATTCAATTTTATTTTTGTATGATTTCTTATAACAAAATCATAAAAATCGCAAATTCGTGACGAGACAAAAATTGTCTCTTTATCTAATTATTAAATGATATTATCACATAAATAGATTATCATTTAATATAAATTATTTATATTAAATGATAATACAATATAATAATATTATAGGATGAACATGAGGCCAGACCAGTTAGCCCGAAAAAATTCACCAGGAATTTACATTCACGTTTGTAAACATTTCATCCTTAAGGGGGCAAAATAAAATCCCTATTTTATTTTGCCCCCTTAAGACTAGTGAAAGTATGATTTTGAAAGTTAGAATAATGAAACTTTTATTACTCTTTTGGGTTACATTATTAAATATTTTATGCTACCCAAGGTTACTACGCGGGTAAATAGAATAGTAACCGCTAGTTTAGTATAAAAAGTACAACTATGACTTTGCCAAACACACATACGGCCCATCTGATGGTAAACAGTTAACGTAGCCTATATATAAAAAAGCTGTGCGAAACTGGTCTGAATCGAATAACATTATATTTGTAAAAAAGCCATTTAATTTTAATGCCATTAACATTTTAAAATCGCCATCCAGTTATAATTTAAATGTATGAGAATTTTTCGATAATGCTTTCACTAAAATCTAGAGCAAAATCCTCATTAAATACATCTTCATAAAAATAATCAAGTTTATATTCTTAATAAACGGGCACGTTTCTCTTACTTATTGCAGCCGCCAAACATCGATCTTCCGTCCAATTCAAACAAGGATCGAAATTACGACGGTCTGATCTGAGGTTTGGACCTCTAGCCGCACCCTCAGTCTAAAGTCGTATCCCTCAGGCCTTTAGCTGCTCCATAAGTCCTTCCTTTGGTTTGGAGTGCCTTCTGCACTCGCCCCCTATCATTCGGTGAAGCTGTAAAGGTCAGATGCGGCCAACAGCATTTGAATAGTTAAAAAAGCCGCCTGGCAGCGTGCTTCTTACGATGGGTATAGGTTGTAGGATGCTGATAAGGCATTAAATTACAAGGACAAGAGGCCTGACATCTTAGTCCTTTGAAATGGCAACGACTAAGGATATCCTGGGTGTCATGGATAACGTGATGTCCGTTGTGCGGTTGATGTTTATAGCCGACTATTACCACTTACCATCAGGTGTGTTCTCAGCTTGTTTATCATTCCAAATATATAAAAAAAATCAAGTAACTGTGTACTGAGTCTTTTATAAGCTTACTAGCGACCCTTTCCCGCATCGCACAGGTGGATTAAATATCGTTTAATTTCTGCTTGTACTATACTATAACAGTCATGTATTGGACATAACCCTTCCTCTTGAATCACTCTATCTATTGCTGAATACTGAATTCAAATACATTGTATAATTTAAAAGATATAAGCGAACAGACAGTGGCGGCGACTTTTTTATACTATGTAATATATATATAAAAAACCTATATGTATATGTTTGTTTGTTCGCTATCTCTATCATCTACCTCCTGATGGATAGGGACAACCATCGCCTATAGGGGGAAGGAAATTAGTAATGTGGACTGATGACCCCATTGCTAGCAATGTACCATGTCAGGTTGACCTCAACGCGATTCCCCCTGGAAATCATCGTAACAAATTCCTGGAGAATTTAGCACGTTGGATAAACTGACCTGACCTCACGCTCATTCTATCATACTCCACTGGTGAAACCGACAGTGCAGAAAGGTGAAATAAATCATTATCATTCATTTAAAAGAAAACCGTCGCCTATACACAAATGCCTTCACAGACGACTCTACTTCTGTCAACGGATAACAAATCTAATGTTCCTAATACAAGCCTGTCTGTCTCAACCGTATAATAGTTTGTAATCTACTTTTGCATGCTATAAAGCAATTTGTCTGCCCAACGGGAGTTGTTGCGCTAGTGATGCGCTGTCATTGTTCAGTCGATATCGATTACACAATAAAGCAATAACAATAACGTAGCTTTTACATCAATAAAACGTGCGTGACAAAGGCACATTAAAACGAATATTTTCAAAAATAGAATTTATATTTTGTCTTACTTATTGTGAAGTAAACTTCTTTTCAGGAATTAACGAGATTTATTAGGCACTTATATAATAACTATTCAATATTTTGTGGTAATATTTTGGAAAAACAATAAACTATTCATTAACAAGAATATTCTTACTTATATATTTTAAGTATTTTTATATCTATAAAAACATACAGCTATGCAAAAACAAATAATGCTGCGAAATAGTAATACGATGTTGTCGGTTGAGACGACGAATATTACAGACGATAGTGAACTAACAATTGTACGGAAAAATATTAATCTTATATACTAAAAATAATAGGAAAATGTAAGGTGGGCTGACACAGTTTGTGCAGTGCTTAGTAGACAATATTTAATTCGTCTTACTAACCTTCATTAATTACAAGTGTTACACTGAAGTATCCAGATAAGTGTGCCCCGTAAATAGCCAAAGTAAAAAGGTTTTTGGTGTAAATTATAGTAGGGATTATGTTTTATAAAAATAAAACTATTTATTGTGCATAGAGAAGAAATAGAAAGAAAAAACAATATTATCGTTTCTAATGTCAAACAAAATTTAAAATAGAGGTGAAAATTGTCGATAATGGTCATTGTTATAGTCACGTCATTATTTCATCATTAACTACACAATTCATCACTTTATCATACGAAAACGTACGCTCCATTGGATGTACTGTTATTTTGTGCTGTTACGTACTTATAAGTAACAGTATTAGGTTATAACAGCCGATAAAACATCTCGTTAAGTACTTTAACGGAATGAATATAATTTAGAAATATTAAATTAAAAGTATTGCACTCGAATAAGTATTAAAAAGTAACTAATTAATAAAAGAAGTAGACTAATTAATAAGTTTTGGCGGGAAATGAGTCATAGCAGGCGGCAGACATTTTCAGCAAAACCATAGACATTTTGTATTTAAAAATATTACGACGCAGTTTAGTTACCAAACCAGTTTACCTATGCAGTTATCAAAATCGTGCTTAAGTTATTTGATGGTATCATAGCTAATGTATAAGGTTAACTGACCTTACAATTGCAAACAAACGCTAATGGGCATTGATCAATAGTATTTAGCGTGACCAGTGAAAGCAGCCAAGATTTTAACGGCTAACAATCGATCGATTATCGATACCAATAAGGAATCGATTATTTTTATCGATTGCGTGAACTTTCAACAACTTCCGATTATGCAAATATGTGGGATAGTAAAGCAAGTTTAAAAAATATTCGTAATTTTAATTGTATTATTATTGCAAAGAAAACACAATTTAAATGGAGGGAAGGTGATATGTAGAAAAGTGGACGGTTGACATTGATAGCAAAACACCATGGTGATCTCCACTTGGTTCCCCTTAGAAACAATCATGACAAATTCCTGATGAATTTGTCACGATAGTCTAA